TTTTTTTTCCAACTGACATCTGAGAATATCTGTCTTCAGTCGGAAAGATTAAAGATGTAAAGTGGGTTGCACTGTTTTATGTTGACATCAAACATGGCCTGTTGTGACCTTGTCATCTGCCAGCGCCCTCGGGTTGGCGCTCATCATTTGAGGCCGCTTCTTGAATATTCAGCTAGTTAAGGAGAGCAACACTATTGATTATGAAAATAAGCCTCTATTTGTCTTGTGAACATAGCGGGGTGTGTCATCGTGAATGATGCGTACAGATCGCTTGTCAGATTCATACAGAATATCAATCTGAATCTGTGCTCAGGGTCTCCAAGGCAGCGCTATATTGATATTCCTCAAACATTCTTCTTGGTCCTCCATAATTTTCTGCAATTCAGCTTGAATTGCAGAACATACGACTCATTGAAATGACAGATCGTGGCCCGGGCCAGCAGGTCCAGTGCCCCTCTAACTGCTCTAGAGATGAGATGACAAGTGCTCATCTAAAAGACAGATCGCCATTTACACCTGGTAATAACGTGCGTCTCATTGAATTGCATTGATTGAATTGAGGGGCGGGTCTCTGTGTTTGTCATCTTATTGCATCAGTGTATGATGCATGTTGAGAGAGCATAAAAAGCATGCACACTGCTTCTCAAATTATAATCTCACTGCAGACTAGGGCTGTCAAAATGGCTGAAAAACTAAATTCGAATTTTTTACTTGAATATTATCAATATTCGAATTATATTCAAATTTAAAAGGCATAATTTCAGTTAGGGGGAAAAAAGCTTTTGGCTTCTCTCCTGAGGCCACAAGAGGGCGCATCGAGCAAAATATTATGCACGTTTCTTGAAAGCATAATAAAATAACACTACTATCTTTGAAAAAAGTGCATAATGTTTAAAATAATGTTTATAAACCTTATATAATTAATAAAGTTGCTTAAACAATTAGAAACAAAACAGCATCATGCATGTATGCATAGTTTAATAGGCTACAAAGGACCGAAAACCAATCACAAAGAGTGCTTTCTTCATTTAAAAACTTGAGATGCATTGGGATGGGGAAAACTGCCATAAAGTCTTGACATGTTTTTTAAAAGCTGAACTTACATTAATTTTACATAGCTTTCTAAACATGCGGTTCTCTTCTGCGAGTGCAACGGTGATGGATGTTAGTGATGGGAAGTCCGGTTCTTTTCCACGAGCCGGTTCTTTTGGACGGTTCGTTTCAATGAACCGGTTCAAAAAAACGGTTCATCGGTTCTTTTACACCCTAACATAATGACGTCATTTGCTATGACGTAATGATATCAAGTCTATCGTCCTGGGCTGGGATAAAAATACACATTCAAATATATAAAGTCAGTAATCATAACATAACTCGGTCAGTTAAAACATCATAATCATGATCTGAATCATTTACAATTACGTTTTGCAACTAAGCACCCAAATACAGGTACAGACAGTGATGTGCATGAGGATTTAAGTCTTGAAGATATAAAGTGAATAAATTAGTTGTCATCAGCGCAGAAACTGTCCACTTACTATACATAATCCATTGCGATTTATTTGTTATTAAATAAACTTACGTTTCGCCAGATTGCCCTTCATTCAAGTCCTCGGTTTACCCGCGCTCATAACATTAGCACAGAATCAGTTGTCCAAAAGAACCAGTTCGGTTCAGACGTGCTGTGTAGTATGCAATCATGTACTGTTCGGTAGCTTCACGCTGAATCACGCATGCGCAATATCATCAGCCCATCGGTTCTCAAATCGGACGTGTCCGAAAGAAACGGTTCTCGGTTCAGTGTACCGGTGATCCGAAAACCGATTCAACCGGTTCTTGACTCGAGAATGAGAACCGCTCCAGCAGTGGGTGTGTACGTTCATTACCCGGCTCGCTGCACACATGCTGCTCTGCTCGTGTTCAGTATCAGTTCTCTCTTCACAGCAGTTCAGTCATTGTACTGTTTGAGTAAACGAATGACTCCGGGATATTGGTTTATTTCGACTCAGAGGGAGTGTCAGCCACGTTAAAAAAGTAAATAACTCAAATAATTTGTGGATTAGTGCTTACTGGAGCCGTGAACCGTATCC